GGGGGGAGTTGGTGTGGCACCGCTGGTAGAGGTGCCTACTTCGGTTATATCAAACGCTAATTTACAAGCCCATCTTGCTAGGAATAATGTCCGGTGGCAATGTGATTGGATACACTATGATTTGCTGTATGAAGGGGAGGATACTTTTGATGGTGGTTTGGAAACTAGTTCGTTGGATACTATTATTAGACTCCGTAAATGCAAGTAAAAAAAAAAATGATTTCTTGGGCTCTTTTCATGGACTGTGGCTTGGTTACTTTATGGTTTCGACTGTCTTTGTTAACTTAAATCTGGATGATGAGGAAGCAGTTATTCTGCATACACCTGTGATGGCCAGGGTTGGGCAACTGTGGTGGCCTTCTGATGCTTTTTTTTGGATCCACACTGGATGCCCCTCCTTTGCAACTGGGTGTCGGTATAAGTCCGTGTTAACCCGATTCTAATTTTAATTTTTCGTTGATTGTACCTCTATTGATGTGGCTCGGTTGAGGTCTTGTTGTTTATTTTTCTTTTTGTTAATTTTTTTTTACGATTATTAAAAAAAGGCTTTTTAAAACTAAAAAAAATAAATTAAAGCCAGTCACCAGCTTCAAAGGTGGCAATCATGATAACTTTTAAATCATTAATTCATTAACTATGCAAAATACATATATATATTTTTTAATTTTTCTCACAACTAAAAAAAAAAACCTTAAATTGATAAGATTTAAAAATATATATTTTTATTAGCCAGTAAACCATTTAAGAGGGGAATAGCATTTAAAGCCAAATTAAAATTTCATAAAAATATTCTTTATGAAAAATAATTAAATATTTCATATTTTTAACATATTGCTATTGAAAATATTTAATTATTTTTAATACATACAATGTTTTAAGGAACTATTTAAAATAAATTTCATCAAAAATTTCAATATCAAAATAGAAATCCATAATAATAAATAATTTTTTTTTTTTGAATTATTAAAATCCTTAATAATAAATAATAATCCTTTTTATAACTAATTTATTTATTTACCTATTGTAAAATTTGACCTACCTTTTTTAAGGTTTGTGCAATAAAATTTGGACTTCTGCTCTCTGACTCAACCATTTATTAGAAGAATATTGCACTTTCACATTTAAAATGACATTACATTAATTATTACCTACTATTGCTAAATAAAATAGTTAATATCATAATACAATATGCAAATAAAGACTTTTATTAAATAATCTTTTTTATTTCGAATGCATTTTTTATTATATTTAATTGGAATATAAAATATTTCAATAAAAACTTCATTTGAGACATTTTTTTCTACTATCTTTTTGCTATTTTAAAAGACTATTATACTAAAAACCTAGCCTATAAAACAAATTATCTCAAACGAAACCTAATTCTAAAAACTTTTGTGCAAATGGAATAATCTATCAAGGAATTAATAGACTCCTTTATCATTTGAAAAAATGTTATAACATGTAAAGGTTGTTATTTACCCCAAATAATAAGTTCATAACAAATTTAAAATATTTTTCTACTCAAATGCAAAATTTATATGGTCATTAAATTAACTAATTGTTTCAAAATAAAATCTTATAAATTCAATATTAAAAAAATATACATTTTAGTTTTTTAATTAAAAAAATGGAGAAGAATATTAAAATTATTGAATTTACTTAAATATTAATGCAATATTAATTATTTATATATTACAAATACTTGGAAGTACATTCAAAGAACTTTTTATCAAAATTTTGATCAAGATATGCTTATCCATTTTTTTTCCCTTAGCAAAATAAGCTTCCCTATGAGATGTGATTTCATTTTGAGTGAAATTTAGGAGTGTAAATTTCATATCATGGGTTGAGTTCGGGTCGAACCCTAAACTGACACGACACTATTCAGGTCAACCTGAACCCAACCCGCTTCATGTTCAGGTCAACCCGACACAACTCGAATGATCTGGGACGGACAAAAAATTGCTAGTTTTCGAGTAAAAAACGGGTCAATCTCGAGTTTCTGGGTAGTTTCCAGGTAAAAAATGGGTCACTTTCAAGTTACTAGGTCAACCCAAACCTAACCCGGTTTTTGAAACGAGCCGATTTGTTGAATTCAAACCTGACCAGTTTCGGGTCTGGGTTGACCCTAACCTGGAATTTTCGTGTTGGGTTTGAATCTAGTTTTCGAATGGGGTCAAATATTGACACCCTAGGCGAAATTATTTGTATAGTATAAATAAACATGCAAATTTCTACAACTTGAACAGAGAATACTCCTAATATCCTAAACAGAAAGGCCCTTCCCATACAACAATATGTAAAGTCTAGGAAAACAAAATAGACAAATACAAAATTACTTATCCAAACATCTTTACCTGCTTTGCTAATTCCAGCATTAATATATAGAAGCCAACGGTCAAATAGTAGCTGCAGCTGCTTCAAAATAGTCTACCTTCTTCTCAGATATACCATTCACAGAAAAGCCATTCTCCTGAGCTGAAGCTTCGGAAGAAGTTGATTCATATGCAGAAGTATGAACTCCGACCGCCGCACGGCCGGATGGGTCGAGACATTTAGACCAAGCTGCATCCCATTCCACTGCTTTAGCAGAACTGCAGGCCACACTTGGGCCACCAGGAACTGTTGATCTTGCAGCATTCTGTTCATCAAAATCATCAATCTCAATAACGGAAAATTATTAGGTGCGGACACCGGATGTAGAGATGCATCCGGGGTGGACACATGGATATTCAATTGAATTTATTTTTTACTTTATATATTCAATGTGTCCGTGGAACTTTAAGCTAAGTGCAGCCAAATCACAGGTAAAGTACATGTAAAGCGCAATCAAAACACAATAAAAAAGCGCAACAAAAGAACAATCAAAGCGCAACTAAAGTGCAACTAAAATGCAGGAAAAACACAAGTAAAGCACACAAAAAAGGTGCAACAAAAATGCACTCCACGTGTTACATTTTAAGTGGATGTCAAGACGTATCTCTACGTCTGGTGTCCGCACCTAACAATTTACCCTCCATAACAAAACGAATTCTCAAATTGAAGGGCAGAGGAATCATCAATCTCAATAACTATGCAATTACTATGTGGAACATAGGAGATAGAAGATCGTTCTCCATTTTCCTTGGCTGATTTCAACCTCCAATGCCAATTTCAGCAGCAATCTAAACGTTCTCACTAAACCAATACAACTTAGGCTTCGTTTGGGGCGGCTTTCTTACTGTTTCTCAAAGCAGCTTTTTAGTACATAAATTAAATTTTTATACTAAAAAGCTGCTTTGACAAATAAGAAAGCCGTCCCAAACGAAGGCTTACACTACAACAAATAATCTAGATTGCCAAATAAAAGCAGTTCAAATTGTTCACCTACCTTAGGAAAAAACTTCTCAAATATAGTGCGGTAGTAGTATGCCTCTTTTGTAAAGGGGGTATTCTCAGGATACACAAAACTCGCATTATTCAACATGGTATCTGAAACCTGGAGCAGAAACGAATTCCAGCGATGTATCAATATGTTTCCATGTTTTTTTTTTTTTTCAGAATATAATCAGAACAGAAAAGGAAAATATTAACTTTTGAAAATGTTTAAAATCCCAAATAGTGAAAAAATAATAATAAATTTCCAATATTTACATGTTCGTTTGCATGGTCCTTCAAACCATCAATCCAGCTATAACCAACGCCATCACTGAATTGTTCCTTCTGCCTGTAAAGGATGTGCTAAAAGCAAAAATAAGAGTATAGTAAGCTCAGTTTTAGTACCTTAAAAATGATTGCATTATCGTCAACAAAACTATCTAGAAAATTCCCAACCTTCGGTAAGTATGGCTTATCATTATCATCAAAAGCATTGCGCAAAATCCATTTCTCAATGCGGCCAAGATCAGGTCTAATCTGGATTTCAATGAAAATATAATCATTTCAATAGCATGTAAATGAATCATATATGCTGGCCTGACCATACAAATAGAACATGAAAAATTTTCACGACTTACCATATATGAAAAGATAACAAATTGAAGAGAATGATAAGGTTATAAAAAATTGCAGTATATTAAATGAATCTTCATGAAACAAAAAGATTTCAAGAACAGTGGAAACTTAAACGCAATGAGTCAACTATAAATTAAAAACAAATGCAATAAGTTTTATCAAATTTGATCAATTAGAGCAAATGCTGAAAGACAACCTTAAACGAGACTAAATGAACCTTTTAAGAAAATGAATTCATGATAAATGAACAAGTTTAACATCTAGTAAATTGAACTTGCCTAGAAGAACCCTTGAAGATATTACAAATGGAAATGAAATAAAATGTTAATTATGTAAAGACAATCAAGTATCTGAATAGTTAAAGCAAGTTTAACAATAATTAAAAATAATAATACCTCTATTTTCATAAATAATTTCAAAGAGAGGTAAAACGAAATAGAAAATCTTTCCAAGAATATTTGGCAAAGGTAAAAATATAAACAAACAAATCAGCTTTTCTTTATAGCAAAGTAATTCACTTTCCCATATAAAAAACACTGACAAAAAAAATAAAAAATAAAAAGCATTTCAAATTTTGTCACTTGTCAATTAGCTTTAGCCATGCCTCTCCGCAAAGATATATGTGTGTTTGTGTTCGTGTTATATATATATATATAGTTTTGCTCAGCTCAAGCCAGCAGAAACTTCTTCAGAAAGTTTCAATATTGTATTAACACTATTTCTTTTAAAGATTCAACCTTTGTATGAAGTATGAATTAAATAAAATTAAAGAATTATTTGCCACAAGAATGGCGTCTTTTCATTTAACGGAAGTTGTGGAATAATTCTAGTACATTCAATTTTACAAAGTCTGGATTTGATTGATTGGAAAGCCAGGAATTACCATTTTCCATTCCGGATCAATATCCATTGCCACTCTGATAAAATTTTTGTCAAGAAAAGGAACCCGAGCCTCCAGACCCCAAGCGGACGTTGCTTTGTTGGCCCTCAAGCAATCATACAGATGAAGAGCTTTAATCTACAGTAATATGTGCAAAGATATATTCAGGACAAGTCTTAGTAAATAAAAAAAACAATGATACTATCTAAACAAAATAATAAGAAAAATCTCACAGCTCCATAAGCAAAGAACTGGACGATGACAAAACTGCTAAAAACTGCAAATGTGACGCCACATCCAACAATGTAGCAATGAACTCGAACGGATAATATTACCTCGCCAAGTTTGAGCAAGGCTTTGTTAAGTAACAATAAATTACGTAAAGTCAACTTCCAATTATTCATCATTTTATTTAAAATTAGTAAGTTCCACATGACTAAGATTATAACAAATTATAATTTGGTTTATTCTGTAATGCACCATTAATCATCTGATTGTATATGGATGTAATGATGAAGAACTCAAATGACAGTATAAATAATCATAAATCTGCTCAATGAAATTAGCAAGTGATAATCATTAGCGGCTGTTACATGAAAAAAAAAAAATTTTAAAAAAAAAGGAGCCGTGCCAAGGTCAAGCTACACATGGAAGACTTCATGGCTACTATATAAGACTAAGTGCAATAGCGTTGTTAGCAAACCAAATATCATTAGCCTTGTCCCAACTATTCAAGCTGGCTATATTAATATTCTTTCTCCATTTATTCCAACGTATGCTACATGAAATGTTAAATCTAGTAAATTTTTTTGTGCAACTTCTATGCATATTACACTTTGATTTATCTTTTTTCCTTCATTTATCTCGCCCATTTTATTAAAAAATATTTGTTGATCACAATATATGCATCACAAATTTTTGTTGCGCAACTTCTATGCATATTACACTTTGATTTTATCTTTTTCCTTTTTATCTCGCTCATTTTATTAATAAATATTTGTTGATCACAATATATGCATCACAAATTCAAGTCAAAGTAATCCACAATGCAGGTTGATCAATCATGTCTGAAATCCCAAAAAGGTCAACTATAGTTCGATGTGCCATGCCCCATCTCAGAGCAAATTATTATTTTAAAAATCCATCAGCTTGTCAGCTTTGTGTTTCTCTTATAGTAGGATGAATCCTCTGGTACAAAACTCATGCGATATAGAAGGGCTGATAATAGCTAAGCATGGTATTCTAAGGTGCTCAGGTAGAAAATGCTTAAATGTGAATGATGATAGCACTCAAGTTGTCAATTCTGTAGAAGTATGTTATTTTCTTTTTAAAATTTTAATATTTTCCAAGTGATTGCCCGCACATATCAAAATCCTGTTCCAAATTGTCAATCATGCTTTCACTAGAAGATCACCCTCTAGTAGTACGGTTTGAAATCTCTTCTTGTTTAGAAGCTCTTATATGCAACATGGAGCGGTAAAAAACTAGTTGAGGCTTCTTTGATTTGTGTAAGGTTGTAGAGCTAGGGATTTGACTGGTGCTTGTAAAATTTGTTATTGGCGAGTAATCATGTATGATTTCTAGTTTAGAGTTGTGTTAGATTCAAAATACATGAGCCAAGTTTTGCCTCACTTTGTTTGTCTTCAGCCTTACGTTTCCCTTTCATAATATCCAGAAAATTTTCCAACATCAGGTTAACTGTCTCTTGAGATTTTATGAGCACACAAGTTCAATGCCAAGATTACTTTATTATTATTATTATTATTACACACACACACACACACACACACATATATATATATATATATATATATGTATATATATATATATATTTTTTTCTAAAATCAATTGAAATGAAATTATTTTTTAAATCATTTAAAATGAAAAAAAATTGTTTGAAATTAATTATGTGGGGGATCTTTTGTCGTTTAAATTTCGATAGCCTCCCGACATCCTGCCTCCTATGATGGGGGTGTCGAGTAGGCACTTGCCTTTGTTCATCCCGGCCGGATCAAAGATACGATAGATGTGGGGTCTTCGTATAATTTATCTCTCCTAGCCAGATCAAAAAGATACAACAAATGTGGGTCTTCATGTGTTCTTGTACTTTTTCGAACCAGATCTAAGATCAATAGAACACGGAGTCTTTTGAACCTGCTGCTTAAGCAAGCAAGAAAAAAAAAAGAAATTCATACATTTTAATGTAGAAATAGTGATGACAAATGCAACAGGTCGAGTGAGTAGGAATAGGTTGGCTTGCGTGTGATTGGTCAGGTTGAACAGTCGGGTTGAATAGATAGAGAAGAAGGGAGAGGGGGCCTCGGCTTGGGTAGAGGCAGTCGTCTGGAGTCGCAGGTGGGTTGGGTCGAGCTGCGTACAAGTTCAAATGCATAGGAGTAGGTGAGGTTGGACGTGTACACGACCTGGTCGGGTTGAGTGGCGTACACGACAGCAGAGTCGAGTCGTTCGATCTAGGTAGGGATGGACGACGGGCGTGCAAGGCTTTGATTGGAAGTTGAGTCGTGTGCGTGAGATTGACGGCCACTGGCTTGGGTCATATCGCATAAACAGAGAGTGGAGAGGCTTCGATCGGGCTCTTCACATGCTCCACTCCTACGTACAGCTGAGGGAGATGAGGGGGAGCGGGGGTCGCTAGGGTTCCTGCGTGTGACTGAGGGAATTCAAGCGGGAGGGAGTTTGATTTCATCTATTGTCGTGTGAGGAAGTTACATGAATGGAGGTGGTTATGAGATCGTGGGTAGTGGTTTAGTGGTCAACATGCATTTTGTGGCCTAAGCCTTAAAATTCAAAAATTGTGTTAAGTAAAATTAAAGGTTACAAATATTTTTTATATAATACACAAATAATATGTTAAATGATGATATACTAAATTTCTATTGAACTATAAAATTATAAAAAAAAAAAAAGACACAAGACACAAAGTAATAAGTTATAAATTGCGTGAAATATAATTGAAATCCAAATATTACAAAGAGCAAAACAACATAAAATAAAGAAATTACATAAAGATATCATATAACAACAAGTTCAACTCTAAATTTCTTCTTTCTCACTTCTCTACTCATAAAGAATGTTAAAATGGTTGTCAATAACTCAAAAATCATATGCACTGTCATCACCGAGGGAGTCTTTATTTGTGTTATTGTCATAACAAACTGGACTCTCTCCTGCTCATACTGTGAAGTCCAATGCATCATAATATGATTCTTCATTTATTCCAAGCATCTTTCTATTTCATAAATGTTTATTATCAATATAAGATGAGATTAATACCCCAAAATTTTTAAAGGATGTGGTGGTGGTGTGTAGCTTTCAAGTGATTCTTGGCAGCGGCTGCAACGATGGTTGTTGCGGTGATGGTGGCGGGCTGGATGTCAAGGTAGTCGAGAGGAAGTTGTTGTGAGTCGAAGGTACATAAATGTATGATTTGTTTAGGGTTTTAGTATAGGATTTAGGTAAGTTTTAATAAAAAAATGTATACATAGGGTGAGGCGTACACATTACACCAGCAAAGTGAGACGTGCCTCAAGGAGGGTCTCAGCCAAGTTGAGGCACAAACCTCATTAAAAAAGCTCGAAACATAAGCCTCAAAATATTTTTCACTAGAATTACGTTGAGATGGGCCTCAAGGAAAGCCTTATATTGAGCAATTTTAAACAATGCTAAAAACCAAAAGGTCCAAAGTCAAATACATTCAATGGAAACTTGATTGATAAAGAAAATATATTAAGGCTAAGAGTTTGATCTTGCTCTCTTTTAATTGATCCAAGGGTCTTAATGACACATCACTTCAACATATAAGTTAAAATATATGTTACACAAAAAATTAAACATAAACCAACTTAATCAAACATGTTGTCTTGCCTGTAAGGCGATGTCGTAAGATTAACCAATCAAGTCGTCTTAACATATATTATAAGGATGACTTTTATAACCCTTTGTTAATCTTACGACATACAAGTTTAAACATAAACCAACTTTTTCCAACATACAAGTTTAACGTAGGCCTTGCTAACAAAGGGTTATAAAAGTCATCCTTATAGAGCATTCTAGATTTAGAATAGCAAGGCCTACGTTAAACTTCCCTCAAAATCTAAAATTATAAATCATGGTTTATTAAGTATCTCTAACAAGTTAATTAGAACTCGTAGTACTCCTATTACAATTCAAAATAGCGAATTAAAATAAGTTTTTTCATCTAATAAATTTGGGCCAATAGAAAGCCAATGAGCTCACCAAACTAAACAATTAAGAAAATCATACCTATAAAGTAAGGCAAAAAATCAATTATTGGGTTATTCTTATCCTCAAAGTTGTAGGACCCGCTTATAAATGTTCCATCTGAAGTAAGCTATATCTTAACTAATTTGGACTGACACAAAATAAACAAACCCATTAAATCATAGCTTGTGAGACCCAAAGCTAATTGATGGTTATATAAACACCTCTAAAAAAAGAAGCTAATTGATGGTCATATTGTACCTCCGAGTTCTTGGACATGCCCAAAAGATCTAAACTATTTAGTGAACTTAAAAGGCCATCCCTCTATCTTGAATGAGTTGGCATCAAACTCAAAAGAACGTCATTGACACACAGATACACCCATATTAGTCTATTTGGGATATTTGAGAGGCGACCTATTACAATAACAATAACATCATTAAGCCTTTATCCCACTACGTGGGGTCGGTTACATGAATCATTTTTCTTCATTGTGTCCGATTAAGAGTCAAATTCTCATTTAGATCTAATAAAGAAAGGCGTTACTGATATTTTCTAACCAAGTCTTTTTAGGTCTACCTCTACCCTTCTTAACATAGGTTAAATCTAATACATCTACTCTCTGAACCGGGTCATCGGAAGGCCGCCATTTTATGTGACCAAACTATCTAAGGCGACTCTCTCTAATCTTATTTGCCACTGGAGCTACTCCACCCTTTTCATGTATGTGCTCATTTTGTATATTGTCTCTAAGAGTAAAGCCACTCATCCACCTAAGCATCCACATCTCGTCAACACTTAACTTAATATTATGCTTCTCTTTTAATGGCCAACATTCTGTGCCATAAAGCATTGTAGGTCTAACCACCATTTTATAGAATTTTCCCTTAAGTTTG